GCGCACACGTTCTTTCTGATCCTCTCAGAGGCAGATCGTGGCTGAAAGCAGCTGCTGTGACAACCCAGGCAGGTGGGACTAGAGTTGCCTGCTCTTTCTGTTGCCTTTTCTCTTCCTGACACCCACCCTCACCCCTGGCCTATGATCAGGGCAGCCTCTGGGGATTCCGGGCACAGCTGTACCTTGAGGTTCTTTGGAAGCTCTGAGCTTTGGTACACATGGCTCTGGAAGAATTCCAGGCCCGGGAGGGAGTCGGAGGGGAGGGCAGGTGTGCTCTGCCACTCGCCAGTGCGTTGTACTCCCAACTGCACTTTGCCTGGGTCAATAGGCAGAGTCATGTTGCTGTGTGACCCTGGCACCTCTGAAGTGGCCACTTTCTGGGTTACCAAGAGACCCTGAATCCTATGGGTGCTATTTGTTTCAGGTGGTGTGTGACAAGTGGAGGCACTTGGGGTTAAGTGTCTGAAGATGGGCCCAGGGACCCCCTCCCTGCTTATCAGCTTGTGACAGGCTGGTCAGCGTCACCATTTGGGGCCTTGGTTTCTCTCCCGTCAAGGGGAGGTAGGTAATGACCACCATCCTTTTGTGAAGATAAACGAAGTTCATGCATGGTAAGACCTTTGCCATCTCTTCCACTAACTCTGAAGGCAGGGATGTGTTTCACTCACTCGTATATTCCCAGGGCCAAGCATGGCGCCTGGTAAATGTGTTTGTTGACTGAATACATAAATGGATGATACAGTGAAGTGCATAGGACATGGGAAATCCTGAATAATGTGAAATTATCAGGAACTTGTTCAACCAAGGAAAAGCAGGTGTCCACATGTGCCCTCATAAACACCCACGTTGAGGGTCAAAGATGGAATGGGCTAATGTTTGGGAGGGAATGCTTATTGCCTTTCAACCTTCCCTGTCGCATCAGCTGGAGTCACATAGCAGAGCAGGCTGTCACTCACACGACCCATCCCTTATGGTTTCGTTATATGGCAAAAACCTTTGTCACCTCCAGGAAACTAAAGTCAATCTGATAGACTGGAAAGCACTTTCATGCCTGTCTGAGACTAATGCCTTTCTGAGTTTTGGATCCAAGGGCCTTTTCCACCTGGAATTTCTTTGTCTCCTGTTTTTCTGTTCCCATGCTCTAGAGGTGAACTGACTTTGAAATCAGATTCCTCTCTTTTCCATCCTGGCCCCGCCACTCTCTGCCCACTTGGCCTTGATTTCATCATGGAGCCTCTCTGGGTCTCAGTGTCTTTCTCTGTGAAGTAGGGATGTGTGGTTGCCGTGAGCCGGGGGGCACCTTGCAGGCTTCCAACCAGAGGGAGTGTCATGGACCAAGAGCCGGAGCTGCTGCTGTGGGATCCACTGTGGGCTTGTCCCGCGGGCGTACTTCCTGTGGGCTGCTCCCAACCAATGACTGGGTGCAGCAGGGACCCTAAGGCAGAGTCTTCCTGGGAAATCCAGGACTCCTCAGATGGCTGACTTTGGCTCAAGAACTCCTTGATGGCCATGTTGAACCTTCCTTAGGCTGCAGGTGGTCTAGGACAGCAGTCCCCAGCCTTTTTGGCACCAGGGACCAGCTTTGCGGTAGACAATTTTTCCACAGACTAGGGGTGGGGGGGATGGTTTGGGGACAATTCAATTGCATTCCATTCAATCTCACCTCCTGCTGTGCAGACTGGTTCCCAACAGGCCCGGACTGGTACTGGTCCATGGCCTAGAGGTTAGGGGTCCCTGGTCTAGGAAGCTTGTGTCCATCCTTCCCTCCCTCTCTCCTTTACTTGGGGCCACACTCACAGTGAGTCTGCTGGCTGTTTCCCCTGTTGAAATCCATGCAAAAAATCCACTCTTGGTGTCTTCTTCTGGAAGGACCTGGACTCACACAGGGTGGGGATGCCTTGTGGTGAGAACCGAATGCAGTGATGTAAGCAAAGTGTTTATTAGGTTGATGGGCACAAAGTAAGTGCCCAGTAAGTAGTGGGACATCCTGTTACCTTTACCACCACCACAGTCACCATCACCTGGCCATTTGGCTTTTATTGCCAGCGTTAGGCACAGAGAGCTCCAGGGGCATCCTGGGTCACAGGCAACTTTGTGCTGGAGTGAGAGCACATGTGGTTTCCAAGGAGAAGAAATGGGTTGATCAAAACACCCTTTACAAACGTATCCCGTGAAAGCAAAAGGCACAAACCAAATTCTTCTCCAGCCAATGAAATGTGCAGCCATCTGATTTGCAAAAGGCAACCAACTCCATTTTTAGTCCAATACACAAAAGGTTTGTAGTATTCTGAGGTTCCTGCCAGTAGTCTTGATATCTACAGATATACTCCAGTTAGTAACTGGGGCAGCTCATTTGCTGCCCCTGAGAAAACTGGCGGGGGGGAGGTGGTGTAAAAAGTTGGCCATTATTCATATTTTGCAGATAAGAAAAGAGAGATACTAAGTGGCCATTTCAAAGCCACCCCAGATGCTCATAGGTTTGGGATTAAAACTGTGGTTTTTGCTCCTGATGCTTTGGAAACTCAGGGATTGGTAGATTCTGTTCAAACACTGTTCCCAAGAATGGTCTCTTAGCAAACTGGCACCGGGAAGTGGCTGGAAAAGACTTTCCTCAAGCCCAATTCTGCCTGGCCTTGGGTTCTAGATTCCATGGCTGGAATCAGCCATGATGCAGGGGTTGGTGATGGAGACCCAGCTGCAACTCACCTCCATACTCAGGGCCTTCACTTATCACCCTGTGAGGCTTCATCCTAAGGGTTGTTACCTGACGCTGTGGATTGTCACTGCCCCCACCCCCAAGCTGGGAGGGACTGTGACGTGTCCCCACCACCACAGGTCCTTGTCCCTGTTTGGTACTAAATAAATGCTTGTTGTGGCGGATGGTGGTGATTCTGTTGGAGCTCTGTTTATACTGTGAAGGAATTATCAGCAATAACAACAACGGAAAACAAATATTTGCTTTATGCTAGGCATTGTGCCAAGGTATTCAAATCCAGTGATTAAAAGACGAGCTTTCTGATTCCAAGGAGTTTATAGGCTTGTGGGGAGACAGACGTGCCAAGTCCGCCTGGGGAGTCCAGGACAACTTCACGGGGGAGGCAGCTTCGAGCTGAGACTGAGCAGGATGGGTGGGCAGGCGTTGCCCAGGCAGATGAGCGTGGGGAGGGGGCTGCTGGCCGAGAGTGTGACGGTGTGGCCGTGGGAACAGTGCTCTGCTGTGCTGGAGGGCCAGCTGTTCGGTCTTGCTGGAATGTCAGGTTGTTTGGCACTTGACACTACTCATCCATAGCGCACGTATGGTTTGCACATGCCAACATTTCTTCCTTCCTTCCATTCTTCATTCACCTCATCAGCCATCATGGATCGGCCTCCCACGGCGTGCCAGGCACTGCGCAGAGCACTGGGGTGCAAAGGCGATGGGGAGACACAGTGCCTGCCCTCCTGGAGCTCTGAGTCGAATGGCAGGTAGACAGGCTCTATCAACTACACAGTGTGGTGCGGCTCATCCTCTCAGTGTCAAGGGCAAGTAAGAATTTAGGGAAGCGTTAGCAAGAATGTAGTTCCCAGGTGGCTGATTCTAATTCTTAAATCTTTCAGTCACAGGTTCCAGAGAGTTTTAAGTTCATGTAGATTAGAAGGAAATGTAGCATTTAAAGATTTTATTTGCTAGAATAATATACAACAAAGGCAGATGCTCAGGTTGGTTTCAGAAGAGAAAAGCCTATTTTGAGGCTTGGGGAGGGAAGGCTGACGTACAAACCTGGGTTACCAGAGGTGGTCATCCGTCTGGCCAGACGTTGTCAGGGTCGCTGGTGTTTTGAACGGGGAGTGACATTCCTGCGCTTTTATTTACTTTGAGTTTCCTAAGACAGAGGTTGAGCAGTTCAGCTCTCAGGAGTGAGATGTTGTTTGCCCTGCTTAGGTAATTATGCTTGTCATCACCTAAAACCTTATTTACACAAAGCTTGGGCTGCACCATAGCAGAGGCTATATAATAAGTGGTTGTAAAATAAAGGGAGAGCAAAATCGAAATGACACGGCCGTTTTCGGAAATGCACGATACCCTTCTGTGTGCACCCCTCCCCTGCACGTCCTGCCGTCCCAGGAAAGACTCCGGCTTCGCACGTTTATTTCAAGGTAAAAAAAACTGCTCGCTCAGACCAGGGGCCCTTTGAGAATTCCGTGTGTTCCGAAAACGAGGGAAATGTCTTTTCCAATGGCTTCCTATTAGAGGAAAGTAGAAGGAAAATTTTACTACTAAGAGAGCAGGCATGATTATATCGGAGACATCACATTTTTTGTTGAGAGGTACCTTTAGGAGGCGTGTTCTTATTGTTCTTTTTTTCCCCAGGGGACCAAGTTAATTGGCATAAAACAGCGCTCCTTGCTTCCTTCTTTCACTGTGCCCAGCTTTCTCATGCTTTGCCTCGAGTCTTCAGATGCTTGACCCTCTTCACTGTGTCTCCCTCGTAGCAGGCTCACCTTCTCTCCTTCGTTTCGTGACCGCAGCCCTTGATATCAGGGACTTTTAAACTTGTTGCTCGTTCATCTCCTCTCTGCTTTTTGGTATCACTTAGCCCCCAGTACTTGGACAGAGTAGCTGGGTATGTCTTACTTATTTCCTCTCCGTGTGGAACAATACGTCTGTTTTTCAAATATAGTCATTTGTTGTGTATCTTATATATTATTTAAACGAGGAGGCTCAGGGAGAAAATGAATGATAACAGAGACCTGGCTTCCAATTGGGACCCTTGTAGAAGAATAATATAAGCATTTCAAAGTTAATCACTTTTTTTTAAAGTAGGACTCCTGGTGCCCATTTTTTTTCAGAACTCAAACAGGGAACTGCCCACACTCCCTCAATGCAGTCTTGGTGACCACTTTGAATGCTCAGAGGACAGCTGGCTTGAGGAAGGCGTGTGTGCTTCATCTCTGAGCAGCTCTGCCTTCTGTATTTATAAACAAACTCTCTTTTCCCCTCTCTCCCACCCCTTTCCCAGTGGCCGTTCCTGCAGCCGCGCCCCCAGTGTGCCAGCCCAAGGGCGCCGCTAACGGGCATTACCCGGCCCCACGCCTGTCCATCTCCTCCCGCGCCTCGGTGGTAGCCAGGATGGAAGGCGCCTCCCAAGGGGGCCTGCAAACCGTCATGAAGTGGAAAACTGTGGTCGCCATCTTTGTGGTTGTGGTGGTCTACCTTGTCACCGGTGGTCTGGTCTTCCGGGCATTGGAGCAGCCTTTTGAGAGCAGCCAGAAGAATACCATCGCCTTGGAAAAGGCAGAATTCCTGCGGGATCATGTCTGCGTGAGCCCACAGGAGCTGGAGACGCTGATCCAGGTGAGCTGTGAGTGAGTGGACCGGAGAACAACCTGTGGGGGCAGAGGACTGCATGGGTGTTGTCTTTCTGGTCCTGGAATTATCTGCCTTTGGTTATGGGGCTCCTGCTGGTCAGTGAGGACCTCTCTGGGGAGGTGACATTTGATATCAAAGAAGCCAGAGAGTGAGGCACATGATGACGTGGGGGCAGAACTGCCACATAAGCCATGGCCCTGATGTTGGAGCAGGCTGTGATCTGCATCGTCTACTTTTGGATGTGGTGGCAGAGGCAACAGCGGGAGAAAGGGCTGTGGATTTTCAAATTCAAGTCCACCTATGTATGCTGATTAACTTCCCAGTTCTGAAGTCTGCGTGAGACACGGGTGGGAGAGTACCCTAGGAGCCAAAGAAAGAAGGAATTTTATTTTGAAAATGAACAAATATAGATTAAAATTTTCTAATTGACATTTATTGGGAGGACATTAGTTAATAAAACTATATAGCTTTCAGATGTGCAAGTCTATAATACATCATCTGTGTATTGTATTGGAGTGTGTTTATCCCTCCAAGTCAAGTCTCTTTCCATCACCAGTCATATCCTCCCTTTATCTTCTCCTACCTCCAGCCACCCCCTGCCCTCTGCTCAACACCATGCTATTGTCTGTGTTCATGAGGGTTTTTTTTTTCTTGATCCCCTCACCTTCTTCGCCCAGCCCCACAACACCCCTCCCCTCTGACGGCTGTCGGTCTGCCCTCCATCTATGAGTCTGTTTCTATTCTGCTTGTTCATTTTGTTCATTAGATTCCACATACGGGTGAGATCATATTTTTGGCTGGCTTATTCCCCTTAGCATAATGGTCTCCAGGTCCATCCATGATGTTGCAAAGGGTAATATTGTCTTCTTATCTTACCATTGTGTAAATGTACCACAGCTTTTTTATCCACTCATCTACGGATGGGCACTTGGGCTGCTTCCAAATCTTGGCGATTGTAAATAATGCTGCAGCGAACACAGGGGTGCTTATATTCTAAGAGAGAAGGAATTTTAAACAAGCTGGGATGTGTTAACATGTCAAGGTCAATGAGGGTGGAGTAGAGAAATGGCCACAAGATGTGGGGTGAGGAGGCCGGGGGTGACTTGAGACATCCATTTTGGTGGATTTATGGGGATGAAATAATGATAGCAGTAATATATAATCAAGCTTGCTCTTTTTGAACATTCGCTATGTGTAACCTGGATATCAAGGAAAAATGATCCTTAAAAAAATGGAGGCAGAGAACTTGCGCTGCTACACAGAGAAGCAAGGCAGGGAGAACAGAGGGGGGAGGTGGCCTGGGCAGAGGTGAACAGGGCTGGGAAGGGCTGCGGGAGGGCAGAGTCCTCCAAGGTGGTGTGATGGGAGGGGAACAAACCGGAGGCTTGAGAAGTCTGTGGAGAGAGAACTGAGTCCTGGGAGGAGGAACAGAAATGGGAACCCAGCTGCAGGGCTTCCCCTGGGAGGTGCTGGGGGGGATGGCTTCCTCAGAGGCTGAAGTTTGATTTCCTGCCCACACACCCTCCTGAACCAGGAGGAGCTGTTTATGGTGGAAGGTGGTGGCACTTGCAGAAGCAAGGAAGAGTCTCGTCTTTCTGGAGGTTCTGAAATTTGGAAAGCAGAGGGATAGAAGAGATGGCTTCCTTGATTCCCTCTGGCTCTGGGATTATCTGCATTGAATTCTATCGGCCACTGCAATCTAGAATGCTGTAGGATTTGCAAGTCTGGGTTGGCTTATTATTTACCTATTTCAAGTGGCACGGATTGGGGAGCAGAATTCTGGGCTATTTGTGACCTGGCACCTTCATAGTATTGTATTCTTTTAAATTAGTTTTGATAATCTAACTTGACTCTTAAATAAATAAAAACACACATTTTTCCCCTCTGGGAATAAATATGATTTATACGTATTCCCTATAGTTTTTTAAAAATACAACTTTTAAAAAGTTTTTATTTATTTATTTTTAGAAGGAAGGGAGGGAGAAAGAGAGGGAGAGAAACATTGATTGATTGCTTAATGGATGCACCCCAGTTGGGGACCAAACCTGCAACCCCTGTGCTCTGACTGGGAATCAAACCAGCGACTTTCACTTTGCAGGGTGACACCCAACCCACTGAGCCACACTGTGCAGGACAAAAATAAAACTTTTAAATGCTAACATTCAAGGGCAATTTTCATATCACTCTTTCTTGGATGGTCTTAACTTTTATTTTCCTTCATGAGAAATGCTACCAAATGTAGTGATGACAGTATTGGACGAATTCTGTGCCAGATTTAAGGCCTGGAATGCCATCGAGAATGGAGGAAGTAATTGTAGAGTAGTTTTAACCAAGAATGCAATTCCACTTAGGCATGGTGTTGTGATATGTGGTAAGATCCTTTTTATTTAGTTACAATATATATAATAACCTAAAAGGTGGTTTGAATTGAGTCCATCCACTTATGTCTGAATTCTCCATTCTTAGACATGAGATCTCGAGGAGATGGCTTATGTCTCATCTTTGTGTCCATACGTAGCCTATGCATTGCTTTGCATTTAATTCCTACCCAATAGAGAAATGCTTTCTGAATGAGATATCAAACTAGATCTGTACCGTTGGTGATGCTGTGAGATATCTGAGGTTATTCATGCATTTGTTTATTATTTCAGTATTAAGTCTTTGGCTCTCTCCTTTAAGAAAGGGCTCAGAGGCCAGAATGAAGGACAGGATGGGAGACATCTGGTCTCAGGTTCTAATTCTGGTGCCACCATTGAAACCCATCCCAGGTTTTGAGCCGAGGGGTTTGTCTGTAAAATCAGGTGTGTATAGGTGTTTGTCCTTAAGATCGTTTTTATAATAATTTAAAAACTACCTTTTACTAGGCACCTGTTATGAGTTAGGCACCTTATATCCATCATGTCATTTAATCTTTCCAACAGCCCTCTAAGTTCATATTATAGTGCCCATTTCACAGATGAGCATTACAATACCAGATAAGCATTTTACAGGTGATGCTAAAAGAGGGTGAATAACTTTCCAATTGTCGACGTGGCAGAGCCTGGATTCAAAGTGAGGTCTGTCTGATTCTACCTTGCTTTGCCCAGTGAGTCTATAAGCCCTTAAGTAGGTCTTGCTGTATCATGAGCTCCAGTCTTTCTTAGACATGTGCTTTAGGTATAACTTGCTAGAATTTTAGCAGCGTCAAGAACCGTTGGAGTTCCTTGCTGTGTAACAGAAGCATTTCTTTGTTTCTTCCCTCTGTGTCTCAGTCCCCTGTGTCTGGGGTACCTTAGGATCTCTGTCTACTGTGGTTGAAGGACTTAGACTTGTGTTTGTAGGCTAAGTAGGTTTAAATGCTGAACCCGTGTCAGTCAAGAATCAAACATTATCATTTGCCCTTCTAGTTCACTGATCCCTTTGTAGGATGAAAATATCCACACTTACAGACCAGGCAGCGGTCCTCGTGTTATTCCTCTGAGCTCATAAGAAACACAGCATTTGGGAGGTTTTTCTGTGTGGTGTTTTCTAAGCTAGGAAATAGTATTATTGCATCTCTTAAAGGTCTGAAAGGAGTGACTCATATGTAGAAAATAGATTGATGATATTTATCTGATAATACCAGAATTTTGATCTGGACTGAGTGACCCCTCATAAAGCTAAGCTGGAGAGTGTGATTGTTATTAATAACAAAAACGGAGTATCCAGAACAGTGTAACTCCCATGAAATGCCCAGATAGCTTAGAAGAGCCATAGCTGGGGAGGCATTTTGCAATGAGTTAAACTACATCATGGGGTACCACGGGGCTCTGAAGGAGGCCTACAGGCCTTTGTCCCTGAATGGTGGAGAAAGATGGATTGCCCTAGTGCAGGAGACCATCTCATGCATTCATTTGTTCTTTTGGCCATTCATTCACGTATTTTTTAAACTGCTATTGAGCTCCTGTTGTAACAAGTGACATACCAGGTGTTGGGGATGGAAAAGAGAATAAGACACACCTTGAGCAAGTTACTCACCTCTCTGTGATCCAGTTTATTAATAAAATGCGCCTAAAATCCCCCACCCTTAGGGTGTTGAGAGGATTAAACTCTACCATTGATGCATAGAGCTTTGAACTGTGCTTGGTTCCCGTTCAAAAAATGATAGCTGGTGCTATTGCTGTTTATATTATTATTCAAGTCACTCAGACTGTCAAGCAGGGGTTCTTAATGGGAAGGGGGTTTGCCTCCACGGCCCATCTGACCATGGCATCTGCAGACATTTTTGGTCGTCCCAACTGGGCAGGTGCTACAGATGTCCAGTTGGCAGAGACCAGGGCTGCTGTCAAACATCCTACAATGCACAGCATCGTCCCTCATCACCAAGAACTATCCAGTCCAACATGTCAATAGGGTGAGACGTTCTGGAGAAAGAGACATGTAAATTAATAATTAGAATTCATTGCATGGAGCTATTCGAAGTATGTGGGAAAAAAGATGGAGTCCCAGTGAGGCAAATAGGGGAGATTTTGTGGCTATTTACCTCCTACGATGATAGTCTTTTGTACCCACTTACAGATGGAGAAACTGAGGCAGTGGAGGGTGAAGTTATATGCTGAAGTTCACCTGGTCTGTAAGTGGAGGATCCAGGATTCACTCTTGAGCAGTAGCTGAACTTGAAGCCCACACCCTTGAACAGAAATGTAGAAATGAGAGGGGATCACTCAGTAGGCCATGGTGAAGGACATCCCAAGGACACGTGGCCCTGGGAAGGATCAGCAAGTGGCCTGTGTGGCTTGAGCTGAGAGGTATGGGAAGTGGTAGTAGGGAGGCTGGGGAGGGGGGCGGGGCTGAATCTGGGAGACGCCCAGAAAGCCTTGCTGAGGAGTTTGGTCTTTATGCTTCGGCGAATGGGGAGTCACGGAAAGATTGAAGCAAGGTAATGACATGATGGAAGCCTTCTGTTGTAAAAGTAACTCCTCTCACCAGGGGGAAGGTGGGTGGGAAGGAGGAGGAGCTGGAGGAAG